GGTAGTGGGAGTCTTGCTCTGGCTCTGATGGTGCTGTCTTCACAGGGTAGTGGGAGCCCTGCTCAGGCCCTGATGGTGCTGTCTTCACAGGGTAGCAGGCACGTGTAAGCTTTTACTTTTGGAATGATATCTTCAAGAATACCATTTGGAATGATGTCTTGAGTTTTTTGGGAACTCTGTGACTTGTGATCTTGCTTATCAGAATATTATTTACATCTTTGTTTAGGTGATATTAACATAACATTTTTATGTGCGGAAGTTCTAGAACTGGTGAGTACATTTAAAAATAAAAATGTACTTTATGTTTTTGAAATTTTTTTTTTATTCCCAGTGCGTAGAGAAATTGATACTCTTAACGAACGATTAGCTGCTGAAGGACAGGCTATTGATGGAGCAGAACTGAGTAAGGGCCAACTCAAGACGAAAGGTAAGGTGACCCACGTGCCAGTGTCCCTCTGCAGGGTGCAGAGCTTCAGCACTGAGGGAAAGACTCTCAAACCTGGAAATTCCAAACTTGGGTGTGGGTCTAGACCAGTGATTTTCAACCCTTGTGCTGCAGCACACTATTGTGCCGTGAGACAGTTCCTAGATGTGCTTAGAAAAATTGTAAAGGGTATTAATTAGATTATTTTTGACTGTTCAAAGCATAGTAAGCATATTCTTTTCTTTTTTGCTCTTTTTTTGTTCAACATAATTTATACTGCAGAAGTTTACGGTTCAAGAGTGCTGTGAGATAAAAAGGTTGAAAAGCATTGGTCTAAAAGAATAAGGCTCTCAGGGTTTGCCCCCTGCTGGTGTTGCTGTGGACAACAGGAACCTGTGGGGCTCCCTCCACTTTCTCCCTGTGAGGTGGCTCTTTGGGGCACAGCTGTGCTGACTGTCGCTTCTGTCTCTGCAGCCAGCCACAGCACCAGTCAGCTTTCCCAGAAGCTGAAGACCACATACAAGGCTTCCACCAGCAAGGTATGCCAGGCGCTGGCGCTCGAGCCAGTCCTGTGGTATTTAAGGTGTGCAGACGTGTACTTTAATTTGCATATTTTCCAGTTAGAAAAGTGAATTAGAAAAACATAAATGGTTTTTAGGGCAGTTCATTTTCTGAAAGCAATATCGTATTTTAAATGGCCACAGGATGCAGACAGACTAATTTACACTAGCATTTATTGGGATTAATATATTCTGTATTAGTTAATATATTGTCTTTAGAGGGAATATATGTTTTTGATTGTTAATTGGCTTGATATAAAGGTTTTGTAGTATATGTGAGCATGCTTTTCCTGTTTTGAATTTAGAGAAAGCTTACAAATAGGTATAAAGTTATGAAAATTATGTTCTGAGCTAAACTTACATCTTGGTTCACTATCTTTTTCCCTTCTATTTTTTTGCATATGATCAGGAACTGAAGGTCTGCCTCTGAGGCAAACGGGCATTTATGTATTTTGTTTTTTCTTAATGTATCTGTGCTGACCTCCTTACTGTGGCAGAGATGTGATTGGGAATCCATCTGTCTCTGACAGAGCAGATTAATTTACAGATATAGAAGCTAAATTAATTACCTGACTTTAGTGAAACCACATTCCTTTTTGCTGAACCTGGGGGAAAGTTGCATTTCAGTGCATGTGCTGTGGCTCCATCCTCTGTGAGCTCTGGGTTTTATCGGTTTGCTCCCTGCGTGCTGCTCCGTAGGGTGTGAGTGGGCGGTGACTGTGGTGAGGTGGGCTGGGAGTAAGTCTCATCCAGCTGCTGCTTTTCTGTAGTTGAAATTTTTGACAATTCTTTGTTACTAAAAAGAAATTCTGAACTTGGCCGGCATTTTCTAACTGTTTTCTTTTATTAGAAGACATCTAGAATGTAAGTTGCTAAATTATTTGATTTTTTGTCATGTAATACCTAGCTGACACATGCAAGTTTTGAAATTTTTTTTTTTTTTTTTTCAGTTTTTGGCCGGGGCTGGGTTTGAACCCACCACCTCTGGCATATGGGGTCGGCACCTTACTTCTCTGAGCCATAGGCGCCACCCTAGTTTTGAAATTTTTAATAAATTAATCTTTTTCTTCAAAAGGAAGTATGAAATTATGTTCTTCCTTATTTAATTTCTTGTTACATTATCTTCAGTTGTGTTGCTTCTTCTGTGTTTACAAGTTGTGTGTATATAATGCATGGTCTTAGGATTCCAAAGCTTTCTGTTATTTCTGAAGTAGAGAAGGAAAGAGTTTCATGAAGTTATCCTTTACCATGAGCGATACAGAACAAGATTTGGACAAAGTTAAGAGAGTATGAACAGTAGACACCTTAGAAAATGTATTAGAGACAAAGCCCCAGTCCTTTTAGGTACAAGAAATTTATCTGAATTTATAGGAGGCATATTACTAATGGTCTTTATAGCATCTTGCACACGATGTGTACCTATCTTAAAAAATAATAATGAAAATGTAAGACATTATCTGAAAATTAAATAACTTGGTAACAGAATATATTCTGATTTGTACTCCAGCATGTATTCTTGGTATTAAAGCTAAGCATGAATGCAACAAGAAAAATCCATTACTTTACTTCCTTCTGACTGAGAGCTGTGAGAGGCAAGTAGCAGTTTGGTGAGATAGCAGGAGCACTTGAGTGTGTGGAGGGGCACGTGTGTGTGTGTGGGGGGGGTGGCGGGGGCTCAGAGGAGGCTGCCTTGCTACTTCCTGGGAGGCTGGTGATGTCTCTCTGATATCAGCTCCTGGGAGGATCTGAGGCAGTGTAACCTGCAGGCCTCTTTAGAGAGACTTGTGAGATGTTGATATATATATATATTTCTTTTTTTTTTTTTTAAGAGATAGAGTCTTACCTTGTCACCCTGCGTAGAGTGCGTGGAATCACAGCTCCCAGCAACCTCCAGCTCTTGGGCTTAGACAATTCTCTTGCCTCTAGCCTCCTGAGTAGCTGGGACTACAGGTGCCCGTCACAATGCCCAGCTAATTTTTTGTTGAGTTGGGCCAGGCTGGATTCAAACCCTCCACCCTTGGTATATGGGGCCGACACCCTACTCACTGAGCCACAGGCGCCGCCCTGTTGGTAGATATTCTTATAAAGATAAGCGTCTGTCACTGTGAAAATAGCCATTTCTGAGTTTTAAAATGTGCTCCGGTTGCATCCCCAGTCAAGGTGGTACAGGAGGCAGGTGTAAGTGTCAGCTCATTGCTTTTCTTCCGCTGCTTTTCTGTCATGACTTTTCTGAGTTGGTCTGTTTTGGGGAGTTTGTAATTGTGACTTAGTCACCATTTTTAAAAGCAAAGAGTCATTTAATCGATGGCAGAGAGTTTTGGATATATGGGAGGCAACATGTGAGACCACGTCACTGCACTCGCTCCTTCTCCGCCTTGTTCTGCCAGACACGCAGCTGGGGCAGGAGCGAGAGGGTTCAGGACAAGACTGCAGTACTTCTGTTAGAAATGATGGGACACTTAGAATATGCCACTGTAAACTTACAAATATTAACTTATTTCTGTGTTCTTTAACTTTAGTCCCTCCTAAAATGTTGTTATTTAATAACCAAAAGCACGTTTCATGATGTGGAGACTTAATTTTGCCGGGTTGCATAAGATATTATCTTTCAGAAAGAGAAGATTATGATGGGTTTGAGATTGAGCAAGTGTTCTTTTAATTCCTGTTAAGTTTAAACCATGTCCAGTGGTACCTGTTTATATTCCTGGTAAATATGTCAGCCTTTTTGTTTCACTGTTTGGGGGAATGTTTTGAATGTGCACACCTGACTTGATGTACAGTGGATTGTGGATTGTGCTTTAATGTGTTAATGTAAGAATGAATTCAGATGCCTTGTTCAGGGCTTTGCTAAATCTGTGTTTTAACATAAGATATATGGTGACACCAGATTTTTGTTTTTTACTTAACTCTATGATTTCATTATTCTAAGTAATGTACATTGTTCTCATATACGTAAAGTAAAAAGTTATTCTTTATCTGAGAAAAATTTAAAAACCAAACTGAAGAAATCTTTGTGTTTGACTAGTTTCTTCCACTCACTTTATATTTTTCCTTCTAAGAGAAAATGAGAACTATTCTGTGCATGCCAGTCTCACTCGGCTTTCTGTGTGTGCCTGTCGTCTGCATGGTTTTTGTGTCTGTCTCCATCACACCGCGGGCTCCGAAGGCCAGATCCATGCACGGGGCCCTCCTTTAGCCCAGTGTTTGCTCCCAGCAAGAGCTCAATAAACAGTCTGAACAAACCTACTTACCTGTTAGAGTCTCATCTTTTGACTCCTCCCTACCATGGCCTTTTATTCCTCTTGATAATATATGGTTGGTGTAATTGTCAAAAATGGAAAAGAAAAAAGTCCCCCAGTGATCAAAGTAATCCTCAAGAAGGGTGTGGGTGTGCCCTCCTGACAATGTCCTGGATGCTGGCTAGCTAGCTATGTGCTGTTTTTAAAAAAAAATAGGAAATTCTGTCATCTGATTTGGGGGTGAATGACTTGAGTCCCTCAGGATGCCCTTTCTCTGTGTATGACACTGGTACCCAACTGTGCACACGGTAAAGTGGGGTAGAGGGTCTCAGCCCATCTCTGGCACAGCCTGGGGTGCCATGCAGACCGAGGTGGTCCCCTTGGTGCTTGCATTGCTCTTTTAGTGCTTCAAAGATTGTCTTCAATGATTTCTGTATTTCCCAAGATATCTTTCTCGTTTTGTACTTCTGAACTTTGAAAAATTCACTTCAATAAGTTGTTTAAAAATGCTGCTTTCCTTTTCTGTTGTAGATTGTATCCAGCTTTAAGACCACCACCTCCAGGGCTGTCTGCCAACTGGTGAAGGAGTACATCGGCCACAGGGATGGCATCTGGGATGTCAGTGTCGCCAGGACACAGCCCGTGGTGCTGGGCACTGCATCAGCTGGTGAGTATGCACTGATCTTGCCAGCCTGCGGAAGCGCAGTGTTGCTAACAGCTGACCCGGGACTGAGGGCAGTTGTCTGTGTTTGAGGGATCCTGGAAGTAATGACAGGACAGAGGGGAAATTTTAGCCAACACGTTTGGCCTAGATATAGGAGCATAGACTGTGCCCTGCACCACCCTCCCGTGGTCCTGTGGGTGGTGTCCTGTCTGCATCCTGCCTCCCGTGGTCCTGGGGGTGGTGTCCTGTCTGCATCCTGCCTCTCGTGGTCCTGTGGGTGGTGTCCTGTCTGAATTCTGACTCCCGTGGTCCTGTGGGTGGTGTCCTGTCTGCATCCTGACTCCCATGGTCCTGTGGGTGGTGTCCTGTCTGCATCCTGCCTCCCGTGGTCCTGGGGGTGGTGTCCTGTCTGCATCCTGCCTCCCGTGGTCCTGGGGGTGGTGTCCTGTC